TTCCACCGTCCATTTTGCTAGCCTTCCAGATTGGCTCGGGCTATGCAGGATACTTCGTAGTGGCAGAGTAGCGAGGACTACAATCGAGTGCGATTGAAAGTATGTTCTCAATTTCTGAGCCGACATCACGACAGCTAGGGCGACCTTCTCCATTTGCGGATAGCGTGTCTCTGCCTCGGTAAAACTGCGGCTTACGTAAAAGATGGGTTTCTGCTATCCCCGCTCTTCCCTGACCAGTACTCCACTTACTACAGTTGATGACACAGCGATATACAGGAACAACGGCTCTCCTTCCACTGGCTTTGCGAGGACCGGCGGATTTGCCAGGTAGACTTTTAGGTCTTGGAATGCTTTTTCACACTGTTCGTCTCATTCAAATTTCTTATTGCCCCTAAAGGTATCGTAAAATGGCAGACACTTATCGGTCGACCTGGAAACAAAGCGGTTGAGAGCTGCTACGCGTCCTGTCAATCTCTGGACTTCTCGTTTCGTTCTTGGAGACGCCATTTCCATCAGCGCATTGATTCGCTTTAAATTTGCTTCGATTCCTCGATGAGTTACGAAGTATCCGAGGAATTCACCAGACTTCACCGTGAATCGACACTTTGCCGGATTCAGATTCATGTTGTGCAGGTTCAGCTGCTCGAAACAGTCTTGCAAATGCTTCACGTGATCTTTCTCCTCAAGTGACTTAACCAACATGTCATCATATAAACTTCCATCGTCTTGTCGAGCTGTTCTGCAAACATTTTATTGACGAGCCTCTGGTAGGTCGTGCCCGCATTCTTAAGCCCAAAAGGCATCACCTTGTAGCAATACATTCCCCGATCTGTTCTGAATGCCGTTTTTTCACTGTCGTCGGGGTTCATGAATATCTGGTAGTACCCCGAAAAAGCGTCCATAAATGTGAGCAGTTTGTTCCCCGTCGTGGCTTCGACTAGTCGATCGATATGAGGTAGCGGGAAACTGTCCTTCGGGCATGCCTTATTGAGATCGGTGAAATCTACGCACACACACCATTTACCATTTTTCTTCTTCGCTACTACGGGATTAGCGAGCCAATCTGGGTATTTGGCCTCGGAAATCGAACCCACCTTTAGGAGTCGCTCTACTTCGTCGTTTACTGCCTTGGCTCGGTCGGGACCGAGCTTTCTCCTCTTCTGCTTCACTGGTTTGAACGTCGGGTCCACTTTGAGCTTATGGCACGCTACATCGATGCTGATTCCCGACATGTCTTCCGCGCTCCATGCAAATTTTCTAACATTCTGTTTTAAGAAAGCGACGATCTCCGCTTTGATCGCCTTGTCGAGTGTTGCTCCGATTTCTACACACCGCTCCGGATGTAGTTCATCTATGCACACCGAGATCACCGGATCACAGCTCGTTCGCAGGTTCTCGGTTGGTCTTTAGCTTTTTCCTGTTCTCGTCTGCAACAGAGTCTACTACGGGCTTCCTCATCTTATGCTCGGCTAGGAAGCACATGCACGACTCCTTTTGGTTTCCCCATATTGTCTTGATTCCGCCAGGAGTCGGGAACTTGACGCATAAATGGTAGGTTGATGGAATGGCCCGCATCGAGTTCAACCACGGCGTTCCCATGATCACATTGTAAATTGTCGGATGGTCGCCTACGGAAAACTCCACGACTTTTGTTACTCCTCTTGCTTGCACAGGAAGCCTAATCGTCCCGATCGTCATCGTTGTTTCCCCTGAGAATCCTGTCAGTGGCTTCAGGACAGCGGTTACTTCGGACAAATTGAATTCCATCCTTCTAAGGATTTCGCGGAAGATGACGTCTACCGAGCTTCCCGTATCGATCAGGATTCTGGCGACATCGTGGTCTCTAATAGTAAGCTCGATTACGAGGCGATCACTATGTGGCGCATCGATTCCCACAGTTTCGTCTTCCGAAAACGAAATTGTGGTAGCAGGATAGCTCGGGGGCTCCCCTAGTTAACACTTGCATCGGCTCTCCTTTGGAAAGCTTTAATCGACGATACGGTGTCGAGACAGTATTGTGATCCTCCCATTATCATATTGATCCTTCTTCTGGGGCCATCTCGCGGATCCTCATTATTCCTCCTTCCTTGCTTTTGGGCTTCGCCTCGGTTCCCTTGCTCTCGGTTCGCGGGATTAACTTTGTCACCTTCTCGCTTCTCGTCCTCGGGCTCCTTGGTGGCTTTGGTTTCTTTGTGCTCTCCTGCTGCTCGCTTTGCGGCGAGTCTGGCTGCCAAGAACCAACAATTTGCCGTTGAGTGCCCGTAACATTGGTGGTGTTCGCAGAATTCCTTTTCATCGTAAATTCGGGGGTTTCGAGTCCAAGTATTCCATGGTCCTTTGCCTCGCCCTGCTTCCATTTGATAATTGTGGGCTCCTCGTAGCCTCGGCCCTTCATGGTGCACATAGTCATTATTCCGCACGTTTCTTTGACGCGTTGTCAGAGAATTTCGGATCGCCGTTTTTATCAATTCGTACTGCTCGTCTAGGTTCTTCATCTCTTCTTCATTCACGACAAAGTGGGCAGAGCGATGTAGGGCATCTTGGATCGTGAGTGGCGTGTTCAACGCCATTTCTCTTTGGAACTTGGATTTATACCATAGTGATATTTTCAGGGCTTTGAGGGCTGCCTTATCGCTCACTCCTTCCACCTTTGACACCACCAATTTGAACCGAGCCATGTAAGCTCTCAATGGCTCGTTTGGTCCTTGAGACAAAGTCCATAGATCGGCATCAGAGGTTCCTCAATCCATGAACATGTAGTACTGTTTCAGAAAAATGGCAGACAACTGCTGAAAGTTGTTAATGGAGTTACGCTTGAGCCTCGAGAACCCCTCCAATGCTGCGCCCTTCAGGTGTTCGACAAAGAGGAGACAGAAACCGGCATCTCTTTTGTCTTTGCTGAGATTGGGGGCGTTTCTCAAGAAGGCTCGTTCCATTCTGATCCAAAAAGCTGTGATGTGTGCCTTCGGGTCGGTTGTTCCTTTGTCGAAGGGGATTCTTATCTTTCCTGGTTCGGGAATCCGAGCTTCAGGAATCCGAGCTTCAGTGATTCGCGCCGTGAATAGCGTGCGCTGCGTTTCTTCCAACATTTGATCTATCTCCGGTGCCGAACTGATTGCATGATGGACTTGTGATCGGACCGCCTTCATCTCGGCGGCTGTCCGAGCTATAGTAGCTCGGAGCTCGTTCATCTCCTTTATCTGGTTGTTCTTTTGCGGCTCGTCAACTTCGTCTTCGATACTGCCACCATTTAAAGCGGCTCGGCGTGCGTTACCGCGTTGATTCCCTTTTCGCGCCGAGCTATCTTGTTTCATTTGCTCGACCCAGAGCAAGTTTTCCTCTTCTTCCGTCAGGTTTTGATTTTGGAGCGCGGCGTCATCTTCTTCGTTCGCTCTTGCTCCTTCCAACGCTTCTTCGAGTTCGGCTCGGATAATACGTCCTGAAGCACGGTTCGGTTGAAGGACGAGTTCCTCTTCCTGGTCGTCTTCGTCATCGACAATGATCATCTCCTTAGTGATAGCTTCTGCGGCCTCACCATCATTCTGCTTGGCGTGTTTTTCGCCGTTTGCTCTTCTTCTCCGACCTAGCAGAGGTGGTTCGGTCGGTGTGGACTTCTTCACCGCGGGTGTCACCAAGTCGGACGAATTTTGCTGCGCCCCTCCGAGCCTGTTTGCGGGAGTCGCAAACTCGAGGACGGTTGGTCGCAGGCTGAACCTTCGCAGGACATCTCCGGAAGTTCCCGTCACTCCGAGGCGTCGATTCCTGATTGGGTTCTCTGTTTCGAGTCTCTCCGCGAAAGAGTTGTTCTGCTTTTCCTGCACGTTAAACTTTTCCATCATTGCTTCGAGCATCTTCTTCACCTCATCCAGGGTTTTGGCTGTCACGCTCGCATCTGTCACGGGAGGATTCTCCTTGCTTCCGGTAGGATCTCCGCCATTGTTTTGGTCATCTCTCCGTTCGTCACCGGACATCTTTTCGAATCTCGTTCAAGAAAGTTTTCGGTATAAGAAAGCTTTATGTCCCCACAGACGGCGCCAAATTGTGTGAGTCGTAACTCGCACAATCAAAATTTGTTAAGGAAAAAGAGGGATCTAAAGCTTCTAAGTGAAAATCTCAAGAACAAAGATTGAAAAGTAGTTTTATTGCTTAGGGTTTCTGTGATTGCGTAAAAGTTACATAATGAGAGAATTACATCGACTATTTATACTAAATCTACCAACCGCCTAGCCAAGATTCTCTCCCAAGATTCTCGGAATTTTTCCTTTTCTCTTGTGCGGCTAGCGACTTTGATCCTTCTTAGGGTAAATTCCTCTTGGGCTCGTTTACTGGATCTTCGCGGTTACCCAGCTCGGCCTGTTAATGCTTTTGACCCTTCGGCTCGGCCCATTTTCCTTCTCTTTTGGCCCAATCCACTCCTCGCTTCCGGGTGATTTCTTGGCTCAGGTATGTCGGAGACCTTCCAGACCGGGACCGGCTCAGTTCGGTTCTTCACCTTCCTTGGTTTGGCTCGGTTAAATCGAGCCTTTGATTTGGCTCGATTTGGCCGAACCATCACTTGGTTCGGCTCAGTTCGCGACCATGCCCGGTTCGGCTCGGTTTGCGATGGTGTCCGGTTCAACTCGGTTTTATTGTGTCGATTGTGTTTTGGTTCGCTTCTTCCTTCGGTAAATCGTAAAATCGAGCTTTCCGAAACCTAATCTCGACACTTAGTCTTTTTTAGGCAGTTAGGCTCGTGAGGGTGAAAACCGACCCCAACATCGTCTTTCCATATAAATAGTCTTTTGGTCATTTTTGTTCTTAATACTGATGTTTGTTGATGATTATGCGTATTTGACATCAATTATAAGAACTGTTTTGCACAATTTTATAATTGTTTAAAATCATTATTTATCTAGAGATCATACTACCTAATGTTTTTGATGGTGGTGGTTGATTGTAGTGAAAAAAAAAAAGAATAGAACAGTTGTTCGTAAGGGAATTTAATGAAAATTACTGCTGACACAAGCACACACGATAGAATGGTGGTTCTGATACAAGAAGTTCAGCCTTAATCATTAACGGCCTATTCACAAGGAATGAAGACATAAAATGTAGCAATTTTCTGTTGGAAGCTGAGATTGAGAGTCTAACGAACCCTCCTGCAGTTATGCCTGACCTCTTTACCATTCCCACTGATACTACTCATCTTGATTATGGACTTCACAAAAGCCCTCTCGTACTCTTCCATGGAACTCGCGTACTTGGCCACGAGTTTTTTACTTGATGGAGTAGTGAGAAGCGCTTGGTCAAATGAGAAGAGTGACTGGCCTTGCATAAGCATCTTGTAGTAAACATTGTCGAAGTACGTTGTGGTTGCATCCATGGTTGCACCAGCGTTTTTCACCTTGTTATGGGCAGGGCAAATTACGTTCAAGCTGGCCGCGAATGATGGGTTTAGTGTTGGGTCGACCTGTTTTTGTAAGTTGAAGTTGTGGATCCTATTCTGGAACGATGAGCAGTGGGCAAATCCTAGTGTGTGTCCTCCTGTCATTTCAACGAAACATTCCGAAATTAATAACTAAGATCTTGTATTTGTTAATTACAATGTTCAAAAAACCGTTAGACATGCTGTATACCACCCTCTGTCTAAACTGTGTCTAAACATGCTGTGTCTAAACTTATCTTTTAGCATTGCTCAATAATTTTTTTTAGGAAATCTTAATTTTTCAATATACTAAGCGAACATTACACTTATTTTTTGAATTTTGGTATATCTTAAGTAAACAAGAGAATGTAGAATACCCGAGAGAACAACAAGATCGTGCATAGAGAGGCCTCTTTGGCCAAAGCTTTGTTGCAATTGAGATATGTTGAACGTAGGAGCTGGTAGTTGTCTAGTTTCTATTGCCTTTGATATTCTTCCATCTTTTCTCCCTTTTGGAACTTCCCACGTTGGCCCGTATCGATCAGGATTCTGGCGACATCGTGGTCTCTAATAGTAAGCTCGATTACGAGGGGATCACTATGTGGCGCATCGATTCCCACAGTTTCGTCTTCCGAAAACGAAATTGTGGTAGCAGGATAGCTCGGGGGCTCCGCCCAGTTAACACTTGCATCGGCTCTCCTTCGGAAAGCTTTAATCGACGAAACGGTGTCGAGACAGTATTGTGATCCTCCCATTATCATATTGATCCTTCTTCTGGGGCCATCTCGTGGATCCTCATTATTCCTCCTTCCTTGCTTTTGGGCTTCGCCTCGGTTCCCTTGCTCTCGGTTTGCGGGATTAACTTCGCCACCTTCTCGCTTCTCGTCCTCGGGCTCCTTGGTGGCTTTGGTTTCTTTGTGCTCTCCTGCTGCTCGCTTTGCGGCGAGTCTGGCTGCCAAGAACCAAAAATTTGCCGTTGAGTGCCCGTAACATTGGTGGTGTTTGCAGAATTCCTTTTCATCGTAACTTCGGGGGTTTCGAGTCCAAGTATTCCATGGTCCTTTGCCTCGCTCTGCTTCCACTTGATAATTGTGGGCTCCTCGTAGCCTCGGCCCTTCATGGTGCACATAGTCATTATTCCGCACGTTTCTTTGACGCGTCGTCAGAGAATTTCGGATCGCCGCTTTTATCAATTCGTACTACTCGTCTAGGTTCTTCATCTCTTCTTCATTCACGACAAAGTGGGCAGAGCGATGTAGGGCATCTTGGATCGTGAGCGGCGTGTTCAACGCCATTTCTCTTTGGAACTTGGATTTATACCATAGTGATATTTTCAGGGCTTCGAGGGCTGCCTTATCGCTCACTCCTTCCACCTTTGACACCACCAATTTGAACCAAGCCATGTAAGCTCTCAATGGCTCGTTTGGTCCTTGAGACAAAGTCCATAGATCGGCATCAGAGGTTCCTCAATCCATGAAGATGGAGTACTGTTTCAGAAAAATGGCAGACAACTGCTGAAAGTTGTTAATGGAGTTACGCTTGAGCCTCGAGAACCCCTCCAATGCTGCGCCCTTCAGGTGTTCGACAAAGAGGAGACAGAAACCGGCATCTCTTTCGTCTTTGCTGAGATTGGGGGCGTTTCTCAAGAAGGCTCGTTCCATTCCGATCCGAAAAGCTGTGATGTGTGCCTTCGGGTCGGTTGTCCCTTTGTCGAAGGGGATTCTTATCTTTCCTGGTTCGGGAATCCGAGCTTCAGGAATCCGAGCTTCAGTGATTCGCGCCGTGAATAGCGTGCGCTGCGTTTCTTCCAACATTTGATCTATCTCCGGTGCCGAACTGATTGCATGATGGACTTGTGATCGGACCGCCTTCATCTCGGCGGCTGTCCGAGCTATAGTAGCTCGGAGCTCGTTCATCTCCTTTATCTGGTTGTTCTTTTGCGGCTCGTCAACTTCGTCTTCGATACTGCCACCATTTAAAGCGGCTCGGCGTGCGTTACCGCGTTGATTCCCTTTTCGCGCCGAGCTATCTTGTTTCATTTGCTCGACCCAGAGCAAGTTTTCCTCTTCTTCCGTCAGGTTTTGATTTTGGAGCGCGGCGTCATCTTCTTCGTTCTCTCTTGCTCCTTCCAACGCTTCTTCGAGTTCGGCTCGGATAATACGTCCTGAAGCACGGTTCGGTTGAAGGACGAGTTCCTCTTCCTGGTCGTCTTCGTCATCGACAATGATCATCTCCTTAGCGATAGCTTCTGCGGCCTCACCATCATTCTGCTTGGCGTGTTTTTCGCCGTTTGCTCTTCTTCTCCGACCTAGCAGAGGTGGTTCGGTCGGTGTGGACTTCTTCACCGCGGGTGTCACCAAGTCGGACGGATTTTGCTGCACCCCTCCGAGCCTGTTTGCGGAAGTCGCAAACTCGAGGATGGTTGGTCGCAGGCTGAACCTTCGCAGGACATCTCCGGAAGTTCCCGTCACTCCGAGGCGTCGATTCCTGATTGGGTTCTCCGTTTCGAGTCTCTCCGCGAAAGAGTTGTTCTGCTTTTCCTGCACGTTAAACTTTTCCATCATTGCTTCGAGCATCTTCTTCACCTCATCCAGGGTTTTGGCTGTCACGCTCGCATCTGTCACAGGAGGATTCTCCTTGCTTCCGGTAGGATCTCCGCCATTGTTTTGGTCATCTCTCCGTTCGTCTCCAGACATCTTTTCGGATCTCGTTCAAGAAATTTTTTGGTATAAGAAAGCTTTATGTCCCCACAGACGGCGCCAAATTGTGTGAGTCGTAACTCGCACAATCAAAATTTGTTAAGGAAAAAGAGGGATCTAAAGCTTCTAAGTGAAAATCTCAAGAACAAAGATTGAAAAGTAGTTTTATTGCTTAGGGTTTCTATGATTGCGTAAAAGTTACATAATGAGAGAATTACATCGACTATTTATACTAAATCTACAAACCGCCTAGCCAAGATTCTCTCCCGAGATTCTCGGAATTTTTCCTTTTCTCTTGTGCGGCTAGCGACTTCGATCCTTCTTAGGGTAAATTCCTCTTGGGCTCGTTTACTGGATCTTCGCGGTTACCCAGCTCGGCCTGTTAATGCTTTTGACCCTTCGGCTCGGCCCATTTTCCTTCTCTTTTGGCCCAATCCACTCCTCGCTTCCGGGTGATTTCTTGGCTCAGGTATGTCGGAGACCTTCCGGACCGGGACCGGCTCAGTTCGGTTCTTCGCCTTCCTTGGTTTGGCTCGGTTAAATCGAGCCTTTGATTTGGCTCGATTTGGCCGAACCATCACTTGGTTCGGCTCAGTTCGCGACCATGCCCGGTTCGGCTCGGTTTGTGATGGTGTCCGGTTCAACTCGGTTTTATTGTGTCGATTGCGTTTTGGTTCGCTTCTTCCTTCGGTAAATCGTAAAATCGAGCTTTCCGAAACCTAATCTCGACATTTAGTCTTTTTTAGGCAGTTAAGCTCGTGAGGGTGAAAACCGACCCCAACATCGTCTTTCCATATAAATAGTCTTTTGGTCATTTTTGTTCTTAATACTGATGTTTGTTGATGATTATGCGTATTTGACATCAATTATAAGAACTGTTTTGCACAATTTTATAATTGTTTAAAATCATTATTTATCTAGAGATCATACTACCTAATGTTTTTGATGGTGGTGGTTGATTGTAGTGAAAAAAAAAAGAATAGAACAGTTGTTCGTAAGGGCATTTAATGAAAATTACTGCTGACACAAGCACACACGATAGAATGGTGGTTCTGATACAAGAAGTTCAGCCTTAATCATTAACGGCCTATTCACAAGGAATGAAGACATAAAATGTAGCAATTTTCTGTTGGAAGCTGAGATTGAGAGTCTAACGAACCCTCCTGCAGTTATGCCTGACCTCTTTACCATTCCCACTGATACTACTCATCTTGATTATGGACTTCACAAAAGCCCTCTCGTATTCTTCCATGGAACTCGCGTACTTGGCCACGAGTTTTTTACTTGATGGAGTAGTGAGAAGCGCTTGGTCAGATGAGAAGAGTGACTGGCCTTGCATAAGCATCTTGTAGTAAACATTGTCGAAGTACGTTGTGGTTGCATCCATGGTCGCACCAGCGTTTTTCACCTTGTTATGGGCAGGGCAAATTACGTTCAAGCTGGCCGCGAATGATGGGTTTAGTGTTGGGTCGACCTGTTTTTGTAAGTTGAAGTTGTGGATCCTATTCTGGAACGATGAGCAGTGGGCAAATCCTAGTGTGTGTCCTCCTGTCAATTCAACGAAACATTCCAAAATTAATAACTAAGATCTTGTATTTGTTAATTACAATGTTCAAAAAACTGTTAGACATGCTGTATACCACCCTGTGTCTAAACTGTGTCTAAACATGCTGTGTCTAAACTTATCTTTTAGCATTGCTCAATAATTTTTTTTAGGAAATCTTAATTTTTCAATATACTAAGCGAACATTACACTTATTTTTTGAATTTTGGTATATCTTAAGTAAACAAGAGAATGTAGAATACCCGAGAGAACAACAAGATCGTGCATAGAGAGGCCTCTTTGGCCAAAGCTTTGTTGCAATTGAGATATGTTGAACGTAGGAGCTGGTAGTTGTCTTGTTTCTATTGCCTTTGATATTCTTCCATCTTTTCTCCCTTTTGGAACTTCCCACGTTGGCCCTCCTGACTATTATAATATTCACAGATAGTATGTAGAAGAATCATTCATTTTAATCATATCAAATAAAATTAGTATTTGGAATATATAAAATGGTGCGGGACTAACGAGAGCGACTGCATCTCTTGCAGCGAGTGAAAGGATATCTGCACAAGAGACAACACCGGGACATTGCTCTTCTAATGCCTTCTTTGCATTGTCAATCACATAAAACGCATGGAGTGAGATGTTAGGAGGTCCATCTTTCTCGGCTTTGTTCTTTCCCTTCGAGTCTAAAAGCACCGACGCATCACATCCCTTTAATCATCATAAATATTCACCGACATTATTTCTTTAATTAGTATATGCAGACATAAGATTGAATGATGACAAGGAAGTGGTGTGTAAATAGTAGATACCCTAACAAAGCAGTCGTGAAAATGCATCCTCAAGAGTGCAGCAGGGACAGTTTTGTCGTTCGACATTGCTTTCTTGACTGCATTGGTTACAATGTGGTCGGCTTGTGGACATGACTGGTCGTAGTAGTGAGGACTGAGTGCTTCAACGTTGAATGAAACTGATAAGATGACCGTGAGAAGGAGATAGGGAAAATGTGCATTCATTTTGGTAAACTTCGGAGTCGTAATTACTTACAAAAATTTCTAAAATCTTTGTAACGAAAATAAATGTTAGATCGAAAATTTTGGGTTGCTTAGGTGATAGAGAATTAACAAGATTTTATAGTCATAGATAAAGGTATTTAAGTTTTGGGTGATGGAGTTGTTAAGAGACGATAAGGTTGTTAAGCAAATTAGGTCACAAAGACAAGACTCGTTTGGTTGTGGTGGAGTAGAGTTTAAGCATTTGTAATTTAGATTCTTGAAAATGACAGATCAAGACAAAGGAAAAAAGTTCAATAGAGCAATAACATGTATGCTGTACGAGAGATTTATTGTTTAAGTCAAATTAACGAATTTTGAATAATGTTGATGGATTTTGACATTTGATATTGAAACTCTAATTAAGTAACAAGGTATATTTGGTCTGGCTGGAGTAGAGTTTAACCATTTGTAATTTAGATTCTTGAAAATGACAGATCAAGGCAAAGGAAAAAGGTTCAATAGAGCAATAAAATGTGTGTGGTACGAGAGATTTATTTTCTAAGTCAAATATAATTAATGAATTTTGAAGAATGCTGATGGATTTTGACGTTTGATATTGAAACTCTAATTAAGTAACAAGGTACATTAGGTCTGGCTGTAGTGGAGTAGATTTTAAGCATTTATAAATTATATTTCTTGAAAATTACATCCCAAAACAAAAGAAAAGGTCCAAAGAGTAATCACATTGTGTACGTTAAAAACTAACGAAATTTTTAAGAAAGTTCATCGAATTGGCATTTGTTATTACAACTCTAAACACCCAAGTCTGATTTTTAAGACATTCAAACAATCAATAAGTATGTTTTTCATAATATTAAAACAACTTACCAAATCCTGTCGAAACAGAAAACAAAAAAAATATAATTGTTTGTCGAATAGCAGTTAAAAAAAAAAAACAAAAAAAAAAACTTTCGTTGAAACAAGAAAAGCAAAAGGCATGGTGTCTTAAACGGTATCATTGACCCGTTGTCCACATGTACAGGTTAAGTGGCTGCCTGTTTTCTTCTTCTTGTTCTCCTGCAGTGTTACCTATTAATTATTTTTGTATTTCGCAAACGAATAAACTTATTAGGTCCCCTCAGTAGGTCAGGTTCGAATTAAATACAGTGTTTTCAAGATCGATTTATATATTTTCAAACAGGTTGGAGTTTGGGAGTTCAATAACGTGAACACCTAGACGATTAAGTGGCTGCCTAATCGCTCTTCAGAGCTTACTTACTTTTAACGTGCAATTTTTTTTTACTCAATCCGACTTTTTACACCCTTTTTCCATTTTTGTTGAAAGTGCAATTTTTTTTTTTGTTTACTAGTTTCACATTTTAAAGGGTTAGGTTCTAGTTCACATATATATGCAAGGGTTGGGTTCTATCATCATGTATACAAGTTTTACTAATGAATAAGTTTTAAATATGCAACGAGCCCAAGAGTCCAAGAGCCTAAGAGCCCAAGAGTCAACTAAAAAATGCAACGAGCAACGAGCAACAAGCAATGAGCAACGAACAATAAGCTACGAGCAACGAGCCCGAGCTCGAGCCCGGCACCGGCGACGGCGATGGCGCTCGTAGGTGTTTTTGCATAATGCCCTTTTACTTCCACAATGCTGTTGACCCTTATTGTGAGAAGGTCATATATATACAATAGATTTTTCTCCTTGGTGAGCAATGTGGGACAAATACACTTCCACTAAACTTCCACTTTTAGTTATAGCCAATAGGAACATTTCATTTCCATAGGCTCAAACTCAAATCTCAAATGAATTTATAATGTCCATTTGCTTATTAAACTTCATTTCTTATTCACACAAAAACTCAATATTACAAGTCCAAATGCTTATTAATATTGGGTTCCAACAATCCCCCACATGAATGACTCTATACATATGCAGACTCGAAAGATTATGCAGACTAGACTCAAACTAGACTACTGACTCGACAAACGGATTTTTCGAGAGTATAAGCGAAAACTAACTGTGTCTGAGGAAGTAGCATTTTTCAGCCTTGAACCACTCATTGTTAATATCTGTCGGATTTCCTCTTCAGGAAGTGAACATGATGTCTTGAACCACCCGGATTTTGGTGTAAACCAAATCAACAGATACAACCCAGCTTCGTCTTCTCGTAGCATTCAGTTCTCTATTGTGTTCATTGTGGCATTGAACGTGCCTGGTTTATCATGAGTGAACTTGGAGAGTATAGTCTTGTCTTTGTTCTCCTAGAAACGGCCTCATTTCACACTCACTAGGTGATTGCCAAGTACCTGTCATATACACAGAAAGTATCCTGTTATACTCTATATACATGTATATGAAGGCTATGGTCTTATTTCATTAAAAGCCATAAAGCTTAACCTTACATAATTACAGGAAGCATTGTTTATCATCATGGAAATTGAGCATTTTTACAGTGCTTTTCTTAGATTCTGCTTGATTTAGTTGTCCCTTTGAACCAATCTCTTGGGATCTCCAATCGCGTAGGTGGGGTTGCCATCAAACATCCTCTTTCGTGATAGGCAATAAGCCCATTCCCTTAGATGATTTAATGATTTGATCTCGCGGCAAGCTTTTGGTGAACGGATCCACTAAATTTTCCGCTGACTTGATGTAATCAACCGTGAGTACACCACTTGAGATCAGATGCCTAATGGTCTTATGTCGTCTTCGTATGTGACGAGACTTGCCATTATACAGATTATTTAGTGCCCTAGAAATAGCCGACTGACTATCACAGTGTACACGTAATGCTGGCACTGGTTTTTCCCACATTGGGATATCTTCCAAGAAGTTCTGAAGCCACTCTACTTCTTCTGCTGCTTTATCTAAAGCTATGAACTCTGACTCCATGGTTGATCAGGCCAGGAGTGTCTGTTTGGAAGATTTCCAGGATACTGCTGCTCCAGCGAGTGTAAAGACATATCCACTTGTAGATTTGGAATTTCTAGAATCTGAAATCCAATTGGCATCACTGTACCCTTCTAACACTGCTGGTTCTTTTCCGAAGTGCAGCCCATAACTCTTAGTGTATCAAAAATAGTTCAACACTCTAGTTATTGCTTTCCAAAAATGAAATCCTCCGGTTTGGCCAGTCCATTATAGCTCCGGAAGTTGCTAGAAAAGACCATCCCAGAATCACTGGATATGTTGCATCTCTCGTTTCGACAATGTAGAAGTCGACATGCACTATGCAATCTCCTATTCTCAAAGGAATTTCATGAGCTATTCCTTGAGGTGTTGCATTTGAATCATCAGCTAGGCTAATCTTTGCTCTAGTCCTGCGCAGGTGTCTAATACCAAGTCTCAAAGCAATTGCCTTGGACATCATGTTAAGACAAGCTCCAGAATCACATAGCACGTTTTTAAACGTTTCTCCTCTAATAGAACAAGAGATAAGAAATTGACCTGTAGTCTTGACCTTATGGAGAATTCGAACTTGCCTTTCTCTGTAGGTGTTGGCTGGTGTCTCAAACGCAGAATAGGATTCACAAAAGAAACCTGCAGCGTCATATTCAATGATTGAATCGATGTATGGCATCTTTATCTCGCTGCACGTCTGGTCTTCTTGGATTGAAGAGTCGGCTGAATCTTCAACACATTCCTTTGCCATCATACAAGGCAATGATTCCTGCCAATCTGGTTCTTCATCTGAAACTTGGTTTTCTTCTTCCTGAGTTGCTTTTTAGGTGCTGGAGGCTGAAGTTGGGACAGGAGATGTATTATTTTCTTCTCAAAACCCGGAGGAACATCTGAACGACCAACTCCCGCGGTCAGAGGAGTCGCGACCGCGGGAAAAGTGCTCTTGGCCGCGGTCAGGACGCTTGGACCCGCGGCCCCGGATGTAAACTGCTCGTAGTCCGTCTCTTCCTTCTTGTACTTGATACGAACCTCTCCAGCTTCTTTATTGGGTAGACTAGCATCATATGAACTCATACCAGGGCGTTGATGTGCATCTTCATCAGGATCTTTGGGAGATTTCTTAGAAAACCTCTCAAATTGCTCAATGTTGGGCATCTGCTCCATTCTTGCATCAATCTTCCGTGCTTTGAGCTCGAGTTTGTTCAGCCTATGCTCGATCTCTTGCAACTCTTCGTCTGTCTTCTCTCTATACCAGGAGGTGGACTCTCTGACTTCTTTAATCTCTTGTTTTGATTCAGCAATATCACTTGAGTTTTGTATGATGTCATACCCTTGTCTTGTCTGCTCTGTTGCGACTTGGTGGATCATCCCAGCTAGTGTTTGTGAGTCCTTGTGGGTTTGCTCTTCCAAAACTCGAACATGATTGGCCATCTCATCGAATTTTTTGTTGAACTCTTCAGAGATTGAATCAATTTTCTTGAGCAGGGTGTTTTCTGTGAGAATCTGCTGATCAAGGAACTGGTTTATCATCCCTTCGAGGCGTCCCAAACGTCTGCTGATCCTCAAGTTGTCCTCTTGCTGACTAGGGTTCTGAAGTGGAGGATTGTAGGCGTGTGGCTCAAAGTAGGTCGGAGGAGGACCATAAGGATCTTCCCGGCGTCGAACAGTCTCTCTGCGCCGGTGGTAAGGGTGGTTCGGCTGGCTGTATCGATCCATGTAGCTAAGATTTCGGCCTTGGTATTCTTCTCTGCGTCTTGTGGCTTGAGGAGTGTTATAGAAACCTTCCTCATAGTATATATTTCGATTTATAGGATCCATATCTTCTGAAATGGAAACAAAATAACCGAAAAATGGATTGTTGCAGAAAAAGGGGTTCTAGAGTCGATTTACTAACCTTTCTCGGGGTTTTGCAGAAAAGAAAACGTGTGCCTTCTCCGGCAACGGCGCCAAAAACTTGATGTGTGGGTGGTGTGCTGAGGGTGTGTCAAGTTTTACCCTAATTGAAATCAATAGCCGCAAGTGCACAGCTGATCAATTGTAATACTTAGGGATCGAATCCACAGGGAAAGAGGATCTTTTGCTGCAAAAAGCCTTTGAAATAAGTTAAATTAAGGAAGTCTAGAACAAAAACGGTTTAGTGGGGGTTTGGTGGTGTCTTTAAAATGTAAAAACGAAATATTAAAAGAGAGTACGAAAATTAAATGGCGTAATAACTAAACTTAACGAAAATAACTAAAAATGATAAAAACGGATATTCTAATGCTTAAATGAAAATGAACTAAAAAGGAAAGACAATATTGAACTAAAGCTTAAAGAAAAATCGGTGTAAATCAATGGAGAAAAGGCGTTGGGCTTCAGGGAAGTTTTCTCATGGGTACGAACGATTCAAAACATTGCTAGAGAGGAAATTTTGTAAGATCTTAGCTTAAATTTTTCGAACTGGAGTCACGGACGTATGAATACGCCACTGTCGTGATCATAGACAACTATCTCTCTCAACCCTGACCAGTAGGTTTCCACTCTGGCCCTGGAAGAGAAGAGATGCATTATGTTTAAGACTCGTCCTAATTCACAAATCGCCCATAGGTAGGTTTCCACTCCTATGTTTGTTTTGCTCTCCCAAACTAGATCTGATACCTGATGAACACTTTCGTGTCACCAAGCATCTGGATCAGATTGTAGTTCATGACGCTACTCTCATGCAGTAAAAACGAATTCAGAAGAAAAAGTTCTAAGATTCAGCTCAATAGCCAATGGAATCCTCATCGAACATATAAATCCCCATCGAAAATCCCTTAATCCCAACAATAAAACTACTCAGACATAATGAACGAAATCAAAGACATAGTATTAAGAAGTAGAATAGAAACCGAAATTGAAAAAGAAAGAACAAGGGTTCAAGAGAACAAATCTCTCTCTCCCTAAAAGCTAAAGCAAAAACAATGAAAGTATGAAGTAAATAATTTGGTTCTCTAAGGTTACACCCGATTTCTAGGGCTCCTAAGACATGTATTTATAGTGATCAAGACCTCTCTGGACGTCACTTAGGGTTTCTCCAAATGTGGGCTTCACTTAGGGTTTCTCCAAATGAGGTTTCTCTAAATGTGGGCTTCAAAAACGACGAGGCGTTTTTCGAGAAAGTTGCCGACCCGTTTCGTGTTGACGATAACGACGAGGCGTTTCGCTAAGGACGAGGCGTTTTTTTCTCAGAAAGTTGCTGAGTCGTGTTTCAAGGTAACTACGAGACGTTTTTTCGAGAAAGTTGCCGAGCCGTTTCGTGTTGACGATAACGACGAGGCGTTTCGCTAAGGACGAGGCGTCTTTTTCTCAGAAAATTGCCGACCGTGTTTCAAGGTAACGACGAGGAATTTTTCAAGAAAGTTGCCGAGCCGTTTCGTGTTGACGATAATGACGAGGCGTTTCGCTAAGGACGAGGCGTCTTTTTTCTCAGAAAGTTGCCGACCGTGTTTCAAGGTAACGACGAGGCGTTTTTCAAGAAAGCCGAGCCGTTTCGTGTTGACGATAACGACGAGGCGTTTTGCTAAGGACGAGGCGTCTTTTTTCTCAGAAAGTTGCCGAGTCGTGTTTCAAGGTAACGACAAGGCGTTTTTCCGAGAAAGTTGCCGAGCCGTTTCGTGTTAACGATAATGACGAGGCGTTTATGTTAAAAGTGCCGAACCGTATCGACAAAGCATGGTTCGGTTCGCGCAGCTTGATGAGATATTCTCAAATAACCGTAGCTGTGTTGTGGGTTCGGTTTACCTGGACAACTCCATACGGGAAGCGTTTAGCAGCTGTTAGTTCTTTCCAAGACATTTTGAGCGTTGGTGTGTATGACAGACGCGCCAGGAAGTTATGCATTCGCTGCGGATTTCACGCGCCTTCATTGAATACCTTTGCGCCATCCCGAGGTCCACGCAGACTTCACGCGCTTCGGTTGTTCTATAAATAGGTGAGCCCCTTTGTTCCTTCTCATAATCTTCAGATCCACTCGTTTTCACTAAAAGGTAGCTCTCCCTTCTCTTTTCTTTCTCTCTCTAGTTTATTTATTTTCCGGCTAGGGTTCCGAGGTCTCCGCCGCCTCAGATCTTTTCCCGACGAAAGTTGGCCGCGTAGCATTGTTTTTTCCGTACCAGCTGTAAATCATGTCGAACCATTCCAACGATTCATTAGATTCACTCTTCAACTACGAGCCGAGCCGTGTAGACGCCGAGGTGAGAGGTGTAACATGATCCTCCGAAAGTGGCAAGGCGTCGAATCGCTCAAGTCTGTCAGGCGCTCGTTCTCCAGATAACGAGCCGTCGGTTTCGACGAGCCGCCCTCAGGTTCCCGCCGTCGACGAAGATGTTGATCATGCCACAGTGAAAGCCGAGGAGAAAGCGTTTCCCTTTGATATGTTCGAGGCCAAGCGTGAATTAGAACGTCTCATGGCATCCCGAGGCGCTTCTTCATCTGGGTGAGGGAAGCAAAAACGAGTGAAAAGGCAAAAACCTGACCCGCCCGGCTCTACGCTCTCCTCCCCCGACTCACTCGAGGCGTTGAGATGTCGTTTCAGGATATCCGAGGCGATAGAATTTGTCCTTCCAGAGAAGAATGACCGAGCCGACAATTCCATTGAGAATCACTTTACTCTGTAAGAGGCGTTCTTTGAGCTTTGTTTTCTCTGGTTCCCGATCCCCGGAGTTATCCTTGATTACCTCTGGAAACATGGGATCTCAATCGGGCAGATCATGCCGAGGGGTCTACGGCACATGATCGGTATTCTGGTTCGAAGCTTTGAATGCGGGCTCGACATCGAACTGAATCACCTGCTAAACTTGTTGGAGATCAGAAAAGCTCCGAAGGGAGGCAGATTTTATATCTCCAACAAGTCTAATCGTCGAATCATAGGCGGCTTTCCAAGCAAATCAGTTTTGGACCGAGCGCTTTTTTTATGTCTTGGTGAACGAGGCATCAGTCGGCGAGAACTACGTTAAAAAAACCAAGACCGCTTGGGACCACTTGGTAGCCGATCCGAAGCTTTGCCTCAGCTCAGAACTGTTATCGTATAATCTTCCCTTACCGAGCTGATTGTTTTCGTGTTGTTTTTGCAGTTCGGAACATTCTTCCCCCAATTCCCGACGACCTCTTTGTTGTACGAGATTCTCTTGCGGCTCGGAGAGTTAATTGGAGGAAGCATTTTACATTTGAGAGAGTGGAAAGAGTGCGAGCCATCCTTGCCGGAGTACCTGTTAGCTCCTCGTCTTCAAATTCTTCAGGAGATACAAGGGAGAAAATGGTGATCATCACTCTCAGAGACAAAAAGAGACGTGAAGAAGAAGAAGCTACAAGACGAGCTGCTGAGGCGGCTCAAACGGAGGTCGAGGCTGTCCCTCAAGACGATCCGCCGAGCCGCGAGGAGGTAGACGTGAACCGAGCCGCGAATGCGAATGTTGCCGAGGCGGCTGTGACAGGGGTGGCGCCCGAGGTGGAGCCGGGCGAAATTATCCCCGAGGCGTCCAGAGAAGGCTCCGCAGCACCAAGCAAAACGCCGTCTAACTCGGCTATCTTGGCCCTGCTGCAATCGTCGAGGCCCACAGCTTCGAGCCTGTTGAAGCACGATGCTGGTCGAAAACGATCAGCTACTGACAAAGGAAAAGGAGTGGCCGAGCGGCCGAAAAAGAAAAACAAACCGACGACCGGCGAACCTAAATCGCGCAAACTGGTTGTCGACGATCCGGACGCTTCCACGGTGATGTTCGCGCGTGTTAATAATGCCAACACGCGTCTTCCGCCTCCCGAGAAGCTTAGGAGGCCGAGGTCCTACGGTGCAATGGCGCAGCGCGACACCAAGCTCTTTTACCTTTTTCTTGTTTGTATACGATTTTGACTAAGTACGTAATACACGCTTTCCTCTATAGTTCGTGGCGGCTATCAACGAGCTAATGGCTGAGTACGAATCGGATTTGGTCAAGGTCGAGCGTCGCCTGGAGGGGGCTCGAAGCGAAGCTGCGGCTGCAAAAGGGAAGCTGGACGAGGCAACAGTCAGGATCAAGAGGCTGGACGAGGAAAAGATAGTCCTCCGTGCTGACGTCGACAAGGTGTCGTCCGTGGTCACTCTTCTCGAAGAGGCTAGGAGAGCCAACAGTGCCGAGGTGGCGCTGCTGAAGAGGCGTATCGAGGCCGAGGATGCCTTGTTCGACGCCAAGGTCAAACACGCGAAGAAAGAGGCGAGGCGCGAATTGACCGCCAAATTCCAAGAGCGCCTTACCAAAGTGGAGGAAGGTCTCGCCAAGCTCGAGAAGGCCAGGAGTGACGAGAATGAGTTGGGGCAAATCAAGAGTAACTTTGCTATGATTGACCAGCTCCGGAAGCCCGACGACTCAACTTTGGATGCCGAAGAGGCAAAGTTAAGGGATTGGGAGAGTGAGTACATCAACGACGAGGCGTACGAGCGCATCGTATCCGAGATCCGAGGCGAGCTGGTCTTTTCTCCTGTATCGCCGGAATCGTCGACACCTGCTTGGGTAACGAGCCGATCGAAGAAACAGCGGCTAATCTGGGCGTCGAGAATCCGACCGGATCGAACACGGGCACGCCGGCTCTTACGAACCTCCTTGCCGAGCGGGAGACGCGATCTTCGGCTTTATTCCTCTGTTTTTTCCCTTGTTTTTCTTTTATGTTCTCCTTTTTGTGCTAAGTGCCTGGATGGCTTTATCCGTTTTACAGACTCGTATGTATTTTTGCTGTTTGGCGCTTGAATTGATTTTCAGACTGATGGCATGATTTTGCTATAGTTATATCTACCTTCTTTGTTCTGTCTTAGCGATATTGGGGTTTTATGTTTATCGTTTCGTGACCAACTCTGTTGGACGGAGAATGTCTTTGTCCCCGAGCCGTTAGAATAGTTTGGTCGGGACAGGCTATCTTATATTGAATAGGCTTTGGTTAAGTTGAAAGGTCCCGAGCTGGGGGTTGTCTCTTTAAAGAGATTGTCGTTCTTTTGTACCTTCGACCGTAAGTGCCGAGGCGTCAGACTTAAGAAGGAGATAATGCGAGGGTAATTTAGGTTGGGGATTTAGTTTTGGCCGTTTTGAGGCGCTAAGTTTGGAACTCTTGTTGCAGAGGTCCATGTCCTGAGACGATATCGAAGTTTGATCGTAGACCGGCGTTCCCGAGAGGGTGAATGTGTTTACCGGGTTTTAGGAGTTCGTTTCGGTTTTAGAGAAAGCGATGTAGTCTCGACTTAAGTCTCGTGTGCGATGACGAACCGTGGTGACCGATACGTTTTTGGTCTGAAATTTGTATAGTGCGCTTGATTTTAATCCATAGAGGATGTAGGTTGCACCCTCGTCCTAGAAAAGGTGGTTAAAAGTCCATTTAGAGAACTTTGTGACTGTTGCCTCACTGTGGCCAGCAACGAGGCGAGGTGTTTGGAGACTTAGTTTGCCGACGTGAATACAAGGACAAGTAAAAGTCCGAGGTGACAATGAATAAATTAGAATACCGAGGTGAACATCAAATAAGTCGCTGGTTTAAAACGAATGAGAAAAGTAGCCGAAGCGACAATGAACGAATTAGTATTCCGAGGTGAACATTTAAAACGAACAGAAAATTGGCCGAAGTGGCACTGTTACTAGAGACGGTAGTCGAGCTAAAATTGTATAGTTAAATGAAGGTATGTGTATACGTACCCACTCCCCCCCCCTTTTTAAGAGGGGGGACAGCTGAACCCGTCCGAGGACGGGCTGCCTACGTACCATTTGCAGGGATCAAGCCGTCCCGTAGTTCATGTTGACCGTGTTGTCGCCTTAGTGATAATACTTCTTCAGATGCATTGCATTCCACGATCTTGGAATTGCTTCGTCAGCTACCGTCGCAAGTTCGTAGACTCCTGGGCGAACTACTTTTGCAATCTTGTAAGGACCTACCCAATTTATTCCGAGCTTTCCTGCATTCTTCTCGGCAGTGTTTTGGAAAACTTTTCGAAGGACAAGCTCTCCTTCTTTAAATCTTCGACTGTGGACATTTTTGTTGTAGTATCTCGCCGTTGCTTGTTGGTAGTTCTGAATTCGGATTAGAGCCTGGTCGCGCCTTTCGTTGACCAAATCGAGTTCGTCCAGTATCATTAAGTGATTCAAGCCTTCTTGTCCCGACAGAAGTCTTCGTCGAATACCTGGGAAATCCACCTCGGGGGGGATTACGCATTCCGCTCCTTAGACTAGAGCGAATGGAGGTCCGACTATATCCATCGACCATCTCATGAAAGGATAAGGTGACGAGATCGATGACAGCAGCTCGGTAGGTTGGTGAATTGTTGGCGCGTGCCGTTGACACTTCTCGCACTTTGCCGTAAACTTCTCGCAGTCCTTGACCATCGTAGGCCAGAAGTAGCTGTGCCGTTTTATCTTGATCGCGAGAGACCTTCCGCTGGAATGGTTTGCGCATGCGCTGCTGTGCACTTTGTGCATGATCTTTCTTGCCTCTGGTCCTTCGACGCATGTCATGAGCGGTCCTGAAAATCTTCATTTAAACACCTCGCCGTCGACGAGGACATATCGCGCGGCCTGAGCCTTTAATTTGCGGGCTTCCCACTTGTTGGTTGGTACTTCTCCATCGGCGATATACACTCGGATGGCTCCGAGCCATTCTTTGTCGCAGCCGTACTCCAGCTCGGCTGCTGAGGCGTCTTCATCCATAGCGACTGCTTCGTCGTTTTCTGGTTCCTGCTCGGGAGGGTTTATCAGCCGAACCCTTCTACCTCTTCGATGCTAGGACGTTCTATGAATTCGACTGGAATTGTCCGTCGGATATCCGGGTCTGAAGTCGAAGCAAGTGCTGCCAAGGCGTCAGCCGAGGTGTTTTCGCCTCGGGATATTCGTGTGAGTTCGAACTCGCCGAACTTTTGCACCAACTCTCTGACCACCTTGAGGTAAGCTCCCATTCGTCCGTCCTTCGCCTCGTATTCACCGTTAAATTGATATGCTACGAGCTGTGAATCGCAAAAGGTTCTTATATTAGAGCTGTGAATCGCAAAGTGCTAGTCGTATGCCGGCGATCAGCGCTTTGTATTCTACTTCGTTGTTCGAGGCGTGGAAGTTCAGGCAAAAAGACTGCTCTAATATTTCTTCGGTGGGAGAGGTGAGACGGATTCCTATTCCCGAGCCTTGTTTAGACGACGAGCCGTCGACGTGCAGCATCCATACTTCGTCTGGGGTTGGCTTATTTGTCTCTTTGGCCGGAAGTTCGATGAGAAAATCTGCAAGCACTTGTGATTTTGCAGAAGACCTATTCCGATACTCGATGTCGTACTCGCTCAACTCTATGGCCCACTTTGCGAGCCGGCCGGATTGGCTCGGGCTGTGTAGGAAGGAGCGCAGCGGAAGTGTAGCGAGCACAACAATCGAATGTGATTGAAAATACGGACGCAACTTGCGAGCCGAGACTACGATGGCTAGAGCAACTTTCTCGATCTGAGGGTAACGAGTCTTGGCGTCGGTCAGTGTCTGGCTGACGTAGAAAATGGGTTTTTGCTCGTATCGTTCTTCTCTTATAAGCACCCCGCTCACAACTGTAGCAGATACAGCGATGTAGAGGAAGAGAGGCTCTCCTTCAACTGGTTTCGCCAAGATCGATGGGCTTGCCAGATAACTCTTCAATACATGGAAAGTTGCTTCCCATCGCTCGTCCCACTCGAATTTCTTATTTCTCCGAAGGGTGTCGTAGAAAGGCAGGCACTTGTCGGTGGAACGGGAGATGAACCTGTTTAGCGCAGCAACCATTCCTGTGAGCCTTTGCACTTCGCGCTTCGTCCTTGGAGTGGGCATCTCGATTAATGCCTTGATCTGTTTGGGATTCGCTTTAATGCCTCGGTGAGTTACCAGATAGCCGAGGAATTCTCCCAAGGTGACCGTAAATCTGCACTTCGCCGGATTTAGTTTCATGTTGTGTTTGTTCAACTGCTCGAAGCATTCCCGTAGATGCGCGATATGGTCTTTCTCCTTGAGTGATTTGACTAACATATCGTCGATGTATACCTCCATGGTTTTTCCAAGCTAATCCGCGAACATTTTATTGACGAGCCGTTGATATGTTGCCCCTGCGTTCTTGAGTCCAAATGGCATGACTTTGTAGCAGTATATCCCACGATCAGTTATAAATGCTGTTTTTTCCCGATCATCAGGATGCATCAGGATTTGGTTGTAGCCGGAGAACATGTCCATGAATGTTAACAGCCTATTTCCCGCAATGGCTTCAACGAGCCAGTCGATGTGCGGCAGGGGGAAACTGTCTTTTGGGCACGCCTTGTTGAGGTCAGTGAAATCCACACAGACCCGCCACTTGTCGTTCTTCTTCTTCACAACCACTGGATTCGCGAGTCAGTCTGGATATTTGGCCTCAGCGATTGATCCTACTTTGAGCAATCTATCCACTTCGTCGTTAACTGCTTTAGCTTGTTCGGGTCCGAGCTTCCTTCTTTTCTGCTTGATTGGTTTGAAGGTTGAGTCCACGTTCAGCTCGTGACAGGTCACGTTGATGCTTATGCCCGGCATATCTTCCGCTGTCCAGGCAAAAGTGATGATGTTCTCTTTGAGGAGAGAAAGAAGTTTGCTTCTCAGAGGTTCTTCTAGTTTTGCTCCGATTTCGACGCATCGTTCTTGACGCGCTTCGTCTATGCACATCGATTCCACTGCATCACATACCAGCTCGGCGCGCGTTTCGCGGCTCTCCGTGATCTGTAATTGCTATAAGAGTTTCGAGAGCTCGTTCGCAGGCTCTCGGTCCTTCTTCACCTTTTTGCGATCTATGTCTGCTCGTGCGTCGGTGACGGGATTCCTCAGCTTGTGCTCCGCTAAGCAGCACATTCGCGACTCCTTCTGATTTCCCCAGATCGTTTTGATGCCTGCTGGAGTCGGGAATTTGAGGCAGAGATGATAGGTGGAAGGGACCGCCCTCATCCCGTTGATCCATGGAGTTCCCATAATCACATTGTAGATTGCTAAGTGATCGGTGACGCAAAATTCGACGATCTTAGTGACTCCGCCAGCTACCACTAGGAGCCTAATTGTTCCCATATTCATCGTTGTTTCTCCTGAAAATCCGGTTAGAGGTTTGGGGATCGCCGTCACCTCGGAGAGATCGATTCCCATCCTTCTGAGTGTCTCCCTGAAAATGACGTTTACCGAGCTCCCAGTATCGATGAGCACCCTCGCTACATCGTGATCCCTGATCGTCAGTTCGATCACCAGTGGATCGTTCTATGGTCTATCGATTCCTGCCGTTTCCTCCTCGGCAAAGGAGATCACTGTATTCGGGATATCGGTCGGTTCTATCCAATTTTCCTTCGCTTCGGCTCGGCGCTGATAAGCTTTGGTGGAGGACACCGTATCTTGGTAATATTGAGATCCACCCATGACATGTTGATCCTTTGTCTCGGCTCGGGTCGCTCTTCGGGTTCGCCTCTCCTGTCGCGCTTGGTGTTAACGCTCTGTCGGGGAGGATTTGTGGGTTCTGCCGCGCTGCTCGGCTCGGCTCCTTCTTTTGGTTCATTAAGAACGAGGTCTTTGAGGTTAACCACGTTCTAGAGCTCTTCCGCCACCATCTTAGCTGCGAATTTTGCTCCTAGAGTTCGGCATTGCGCCGTTGGATGCCCGTAGGTCTGGTGATACTCGCAGAATGCCTTTTTGTCATAATTGGTGGGCTTTCTTACCCAAGTGTTGTTGCACGGCTCTCCTCTTCTGCGTCCAGTGCCTACTTGGTAGTTATGGGCACCTTCGCTTCTAGGTTCGTCCGAGCTCTGCGTTGTTGCGTTGTTTGATGGATTGCTTTTCTTCGAGGGGCGCATCAAAATTGAGCTTTGGATTGCTGCTTTTGTTGCTTCGTACTGCTCGTCCAGATTCTTCATCTCTTCCTTGTTTACGACGAAGTCTGATGACCGATGCAAGCCATCTTGAATCGTTTGTGGCGTGTTGAGTGCCATTTCCCATCGGAATTCAGATTTATACCACAAAGACCGTTTTAGAGCTTCGAGTGCAGCTTTGTCGCTTATTCCTTCAATTTTGGATACGACCGCCTTGAACCTTGCCATGTAATCCCGAAGCGGTTCGTTCGGTCCTTGGGATAGCGTCCACAGGTCGGCATCAGACGTTCCTCTATCCATAAACATCGAGTATTGTTTGAGGAACAAGGCGGAGAGCTGTTGGAAACTGCCGATCGAATTGCGCTCCTGCCTTGAAAACCACTCAAGTGCGGCTCCCTTGAGATGTTCCACGAAGAGCAAGCAATATCCGGCATCTACTTCCCGCTCGGTCAGTTTGGCAGCGTTCTTTGTGAAAGCTCGTCCCATGGCTATCCGAAACGCTGTGATGTGTGCTTTTGAATCGGTCGTTCCTTCGTAGAACGGGATTCTCACCTTCCCGGGCTCGGGATCCTAGCCTCCGTGATTCTCGCCGTGAATGGTGTTCTCTGGGTTTCTTCAAGCATCTGATCGATCTCGGGCGCAGCACTCGTCGCGTTATGCACTTGAGACTTCATGGCGCGTATCTCGGCTACTGTCCGAGCCATTGAGGCTCGCAGCTCTTTGAATTCGAGGGTTTGCGCGTGAGTCATTCCCTTTGATTGGGGGAGTCGCTCCCGCTCTTCTCTCCTTGGTTCGTCTTCGCGTTACGGCTGCTCGATCCATTGGAGGTTTTCTTCTTCTTCGGTCGGGTTGTCGCCGCGAGCCGGTTCGGTGATTTCGTCAGTCCGGACGCCGTTTAATGCCGAGGCAAACTCTTCTTGGCTTATTCGCCAAGCCGAGCCGTTTTGTTGCGAGTTCGTGGTTCCATCGCTCTATTGGGCATCGATCGCGTCATTCTCCTCTTCGCCGGCTCGTCGCCTTGAGTTCCGACGGAGTGGAGGCGGCTCGGTCATGATGACTAGGGTTACCGCGGGAGTCTGTTCGCCGAGAGGACGAAACATTGGTGGAGCCAAGAGATTTCTTGCGCCGCTTCCCGAGGCCTCTGCAGGCGTTGAGAAATCGAAGCGTCTCCGGATTCCATCCATCGGGTCGGAGATTCTGGCTCTCCAAGTTGGGTGTCGTCGCTCGGCCGCCATCGCGTCGAGCCTCTCTGTAATCGCCTCGTTTCTTTTGTCCTGCTCGTCGATCTTCTTCATCAACGCAGCCATTATGTTTTGCATCTCCTCTTGGGTTTCGGTCGTCACCGTCGTTGTGCCTGATGCTGGAGCGTCCTCTCCGTGCCGTTATCGTTGTTGTTGTTGTTATCGTCGAGGGTGTTGCTCGCCATGTTCTTCGGATCTTAAAGTCTTGTCGATTTAGAGTAAGAAAGTTTCGATTCCCCACAGACTGCGCCAAATTGTGTGAGCCAAAACTCGCACAACCAAAAATTTGTAAGGAAAAACTAAGGGATCCAAAATTTCTAGGGTAATCGCAAGAACAGTAAGATCAAAAGAAGGTTTTGTTTGCTGTGAAAGTGTTTAGGTCTTATTGCTCTTGAGTTGTGAAAAGTTACATAATGAATTGTATGCATCGTCTATTTATACTAATTCTCTGAACCGCCTATCGGAGAATCTCGGGAGAGATTTTTGGAATATTTTCTTATCGCTTCGTGCGGCCACCGTCATAATACTTCACTTAGGGTTTCTATGGGCTTTCGTCTTCCAAAGCCTTGGTTCGGCCCAATTGTGGAAGAAAATGGCTCGACTCATTCTCCTTCTTATGCAGCTCGGCCCATTTGCTTTCTCGCACAGCTCGGTCCGTTAGCTCGGCCCATTAAACATCCTTCACGCGGCTCGGTTCACTTACTTCCTCCTTTCGGCTCGGCCCGTTCACAGCTCGGCCTACTCCTCTCATGCGCGGCTCGGCCTACTTAATAGATCGCCGGTTCTCCTTGCAAAATCGGCTCTCCAATATTCCTGAGATGGTTTAAACCGATTGGGGTGAAACCGACCCCAACATATACCTCTGAATTGTTCTACTATGCATTCTCAAATACTTACATCGAATGCAAATTCCTATTTCCAAATTCTTAATTTCAGACTGATCGATATTAAAAAATTCACATATGCTTTTGTCCGAAACATACAACTATTCAAATTCCATCAACAATATAAGTCAATTTTTTTTTTTCTAACATTCAATATACATTTTGTTAAATATTACAACAAAAAAATATAAGATGTAAAATATATAGTGACAATCTGTATATTATGTCTAGTGAAAATAAATATAAGCTGCTTCAAAAATGGTAGAATGTTGTATCTGAACACTTTGATTTTTTTTTAAATAAATTGAACTTCTGCCTACATAGATTAAAAATAGTAGTGACAGGTTTGTAATTACATAAATAAAAACCATAAGGGCAAAATAGATACCCTAAACCATTCTAGTAATTTTGAAAATTTTGCATTAGTTTAGTAATATCAAAACTTTTGGAGGTCATTTTACTTATTTTTTATTTATTATTTTGTGATTTATAATTTTCTATAACTTTAAACCAATAGAATTTCAATATATCCAATTCAAATTCTTGAAGTTTACAATTTATCATTATTAACTAATAAACAATGCATAGAAAACTTCAAAAATCTATCTTTTTGAAACAATTTTTGTCGAAAACATTCATTAATTTTCATTAATTTGAAACAGAAGGAGTAATTGCCGGGAAAATAGCCTATTCGTACTTTTTTGTTGTACCCACACATACCTGAACTATAAATAATTTGAATATTTATGACTGAACTGAATCATGTATCACTACAAGAAAACATGCTGAATTCTTATGAATTTTCCTACGAAAATTTTGGTAGGAAATGTTTTTTATCATTTTCCTACAAATTTATGACAAAAATTAGAAATGGTAGGAAATTGATAAGAAATTTCTTATGATAAAAATCGTCGAAAAACGGTCAAAATTTTCTTACCAATATTCAACCAAAAAAGTATTTGTAAGAAATCTGATCAAAAAATGGTAAGAAATTGATAAAAAAATTTTACTGTGATAATGGTAGGAAATTCGTCGAAAATTTCTGACCACTTTTCTACAAATAGAATATGTAGAAATTACCTATTAATTTCTTACTAAGCAAATATTTTATTATTTAAATATCCTATCAATTTCCTACCAAAATCAGTCAAAACAAGAAATGGGAAAATTCCCACATCGACAAACCAAAGTGGAAGACACACTGAATAGGCTCTATAAATAGTGACATATCTTAACTAGAAAAAAATACTAAGTGAATTAATATAATTTAGCATTTAGAAGTTCCATATTTAGTTAAAATTAATTTCTAATTAGTTTTTAATTGGGCTGATTAATTTAGATTTAATTTTTATAATTTATTTAATAATTGAAATTATTTAATTTTAGAATTAATCGAATTAAAACTGTTTTTATATATCTAGTAGAAAATAGGTAGGAATATGGTAGAAAATGTTTGTAGGAAAACGGTTGAATTTTTTTGTAGGAAAATGGAAGGAAAGTAATAGCAAATATCCTACGATATTCTGACCAATTTTTCCGATGAAATTTTCCGACCAAAAGTTTCGTAGGAAATTTCCTACCATTTTCTGACCATTTATAATTTCCGACGGCATAGAACCTACCGAAATTTTTCGTCGGAAATTGGTAGAAAATGCCTGTTTCCTACCATTTTTTGATGATATTTTTGTAGAAAAACCTGCTGTTTTCTTGTAGTGTATTGACTCTTAACCCGTTACTCAATCCCGTCAAATTGTTAACGATTTTGCCACGCTGTAATCCCCGTTGGAACGTGAACATGATGCAACGTCGTTTTACATAATGATGGAGAAATTTTTTTTTGCAAGCTCGAGGTATCGAACCCGCATCACACAAGCCTACAAAATATTTTCAAGGTTCGATTCCTCAAGCCTGCAATTTTTTTTTCCAGAATTATGCAAAACGACATAGCATCATGTTCACGTTCCAACGGGAATTCCAGCTTGGCAGGTGAGTCAGCCCCGTTAACAATTTGATGGGATTGACTAACGGGTTAAGATTCATTGCATGATTCGGTAAAAAAATTAATATTACCCGGCCGGTTCCGAAAATCCAATTCGGATCAGACTCAAAAAGAGCCCAAAAAAAAACTGAACTGAACATTTGATATTACCCGGCTGGTTCTTTTT